GAAACGTACAGTGGTGGACCGCCAAGCATCCAGCTGGTGTGGATGGTATCGGGAGATTTGCCGCGTAGTGCGTTCATGAAATTTGGCGGCCGGAATTAATCCGAACAATTCCTCAGAGCACTCTCCGTGATAGATGCAATAAAATATGCAAAGAGATGCAACATCTCTTCGCAGCGCCAATGAATCGAGCCGATTGGAAAGCACTCGGTCATCAACGATTCAAGCCACTCTGCGCTGGATGCGGTCAAGTGGAAGGAGCTGGCACTGGGGAGCCCCAGCCCAGGGATGGGAACAGTATTCCATGTGCGGTCAAACCTGCACCTTGTAAAGTTGCAGGTGGTGTGCCGGCATGAAATACCGTCCCGCTCTGCTTTTTAGAGGCCAATTTGGCCTTCTCTTCCAAGTGACCACGAAACTGCAAGTCACTCGATATGTCGACGCCGAGGATTCCGATACTGGCTGAGGCAACAAGGGGGAGTGCCTTAAAACTTAGGAGATACAACAAAGGGGTTCTTCTGAGCGGTTAACGCGCAAACTTGTGTCTTCTGAAGGTTAAACTGGACTAGATTTAGTAGCCCCCAATCCGAGACTTTGTTCAACAAAGACTAGACTTCAGACACAAGTTTGTCCCGGTATTCGGAGATGTTTTCCCGAGAAATATTGGCACGCCCGGTGTACAGAGCATCACCAGTGCTGTCATCTGCATAGCAATGAATGTTGCCGGTTTGCAACATATCATTGATATGCAGAAGAAACAGCGTTGGTGATAGCACGCAGCCTTGTGGAACACCAGCATTAATAAGCCTGTAATCGGAGCTTGCACCGTCTACAAGGACCTTCATACTCCGATCTGCAAGAAAGCTGGTGATCCAATTGCACAATTTCTCGGAAAGCCCATAGGAAGGGAGCTTCGAAAGAAGCGCTTTGTCCCAAACCCAATCGAAGGCATTCGCAATGTCGAAACTATCGGCCAATGCCTCCCCCTTTGAGTCTACTGCCGCCGCCCATCTATGAGCTATTAGGAAAATTAAAAAATTTATTACATTAATGTAATTTTCTTAAATCTTAACAGCGCCACATCAATATATTCTATCCAGGCAAGGCCAAGGCTGGTTGCTAGTGTTAAATAAATTTATAGGGCATAATCATTTTCCAGCAGTTAAGTATATAGCGGCAATTTACTTTGCAATAAAATACAATAATTTAATAAATTTATCCTAGTATCCTGATCAGGATCACCAGAATAAAAAAAATATCGGCATCATCTTAGATCATGATCAATGCGTATTGTTTTTTCAAACATTTCACATTTTTCAATGTCATTTTTTTTCACCCCAGCCCTCTGCAGTAAACCCTTCTCCACTAATTTTCCGGCTGGCTGGTATAACATGCCATATGGCAAAACTGGTCCAGCCCTTTAGTTCAGTGACAGACACGACTATATTTATATTTATAATTCTTCTGCATATCTAACATGCAGCCATTGTAAGGAATGAATGTGGCTGTCTTTATAGCAAGAGTGCTTTAGTTGAGCTAAGTCAGTGTTATTTACCATCAAGTGGTACAGTAGCCAAATACTTGTTTAAAAAATAATTGGTGTCAGTTTTGATGCAGTGTTATAAATAAATAAAACGTCGTAAATATTTATTTAATTGAATAATTTTAAAAGTACTGAAGATTTTAACAGTAGTAGAGCCATGCGGCAGGTTTGCTGTTGCACGAATGAGCCGGCTCAAACCGGGGTACGGGGTACCACGACCTCACAGAATACAGGCGTGAAGTGCAAGCTCTGATTCGACGTTTCGTCTGGTGAGTGTAGGTAGCCGGAGGCCCAATTCCCCCCCCCCCACCCTTAACATGGTAGCAGAATTAAGCGAAGATATACGCCAGGTGGGTACCGGTATCCCTGGAGAATCCCTCGCTAAGTATCCACGACCAAGTTACTCCACTCCTGAGCGTGGGTGCTCAGGCTGCCCCGCGTATTTGGGAGGGGGCGAAATTCCGCTCAAGACAATAACTGCTCTGGGCAAACCGAGTAAAAAGACCAAGGCGACCCCTGCCACGCTATCCGTCAATTTCTGAAATATCAAGGGATTTTATTCTAACCTAAACGCTGTCCACTACCATCTCGAGATGGCGAGGTCAGCTCTGCTCTTTCTGACCGAGACACTGTCTTCTCCAGCTGATGTCTCGGATCTCCCCTACACGGGGTACCATACCAAACTGGAACACTCCTTTGTGCCTCGGGCTGGAGTTTGCGTTTACGTCAGAGAAGACATATGTTCTCGACGCCTCGGCAGTCTTGAACGTTCGACCTGTCCATCCTTTGGCTACGCGTAGACAGCGACGACTATAGGCGCGTCTACGGGTGCCTCTATAAGTCCCATAGTGTTAATGCCGAAACAGACCGACCCTTCGACCACGTCCAAATGGCTACAGATTCGTTGCTACAGCAGATCACCTCCGCAGAGATCCTGATCCTCGGCGATTTTAACGCCCACCACGCCGAATGGCTTGGTTTACGTTCAACCGAACATGCGGGGAGATCTGTTCATGATTTTGCCTTGGCATATAATCTGACTCAATCTGGCATATAGTTCGCCCCTCTTAAATAAAAAAAACTAAATTGTAGGACCTAAACTGTGGGAAAAATAACCAGGTATGAATAGAAACCTTGCATTGATGGGATTTAGTCAATTCCAAGCCAAAGCGCGAGTTTGCAAAACAAACATGCAGTGTCATGCTAACCATTGTTTTTTTCTTTTTTTCATTCCAGACACGAAGCCCGTAGGTTTGTATTTGGGTAAGGTCGTAAAAAGTGTAAATAACGCACTGGAAGGTATAACACACGATAACACAATAACGTACTGGAATAATATAAAGGTCAGTGTTCACTTGGAAATAAGTTCAAGTAAAATCTATTTTAAAATATTATCAATTACTTATTTTCATGAAATTAAGATTAAATAATCAACAACGAATCTTAGACTATGCATAGCTTACATGTTTGCGAAACTAAACGCCAAAGTAACACAACATGGTAGAATTAAAGCCTTTAACAAAATAATGAGCTTACAAAAACAGTAGGTACTAATCAAAGTAGGTTATTCATAAAAGAAATATAACGAATTTAACAAATATGTGTTTAAAGTTTACAATAAGTACAGATTAAGTAAAATTAAGATAACGTAATTATTACCATTTATTACAAAATTTTGTTTCACGTTTTTTTTTAAAATTATAAGGGCTATCCCATTTGACACTTCGTGTTCTGACAGAGCCATATTTAAGAAGAAATTAAAATTTAAAAATGCGTTTTTTTAATGTAATCAATAGGCGAACTACAATATAGCATTAATTTAAATAAGTAATGATTAAAACTTTTTGTGTTTATCTAATAAACTCAGCAAACAAATATAATAAAGCCACATTAAAAATGTGTTTTAATAATAACTTATTTATATTTTGCCAATTAATAAAATTAAAAAAAAATGATTATTATCATCTAAATATTTTTTTATAATATGGTCCTGTGCGAGTGGAAAAGTTGACGAAAGGCGACGACCTCTTAATTAAAAACGGACCTAGTTCGGCTACTGAGGGACCACTAGTAATAATAAATCAGAATAGTATAACACTCCACTCTTATGTAGGTACGTCAGAATAACATTACACCTTTTTCATTTCACCGTAGTCGGTTAAGTTATGTGAACACTCTCCTTTATAACATTCTAGTGTGTGACATAACAAACACCATAACACACGTAACGAACTGGAACAAACACACTCGAAAATTCAAAACTCAACAACGAATACCGGTCATAAATCAAGTGCAATTTACTTACTAAAACTTGACATACTCTGGTAATTGACGATAAATTTCGAATCAGGAACCTAGTAAACGATGTCTTTGTACTTCTCCGTAGATTTCACATATACACTGCCCGAAATTTGTGCTCTAAATTATGGAATTTAAAATTGTTTACGATCACGACTACAAATGAAAAAAATATGTCAAAATTGACATTTGACAGTAAGCCCACGGCGTTGCCCATAGATAAATAAGTATGTAGCAAGCTACTGGCGTTGCCTCAACGAAATTAGGTTATTAATGTTGTTTAATAGTATGAAATGCTGTGAGCAATTCATTACATGACGTTTCCTTCGTCCCTCGCACCTCATGCCCCTTCCCTCTTTCGCCACATTGTCAAGTTCATAGATTACTGTGGGTATGTTCCGAAATACAACGCAGTGTACTGTCCAATGCAAATGACGTCATGAATCGACGCTATACTGGTGATTCGTTCCAAAGCATTGGACAGTATATGACGTCATACTTTTGCGCCATTTGGAAAAGTGTTGGCGATTATTTTGTCATTTTGTGCTCCAAAAATCATTATATCCTCCTAATGGATATACCATCAATTATTCTATAATTTTTTGTATTTGAATAAATAGAAATAAATTCTGGCATGCTTCATTCGGCAAACACACAATTAAAAATTGTTTTATTATGGCCGGATATCCGACACAATATGGCGGCGGCACGCTAGTTGGACAGTACAGTGCGTTCTATTTCGGAACATACCCTATTTATACTATAGAGAGTCATGTTACTGTCGCTTAGCTGTCAGTCTACATGTCATTTATTGTTGTTTAGAGGTTTTCTTGGATATTCGTTGTTTCCGTGAACTAACAAAATAAACTTTTACTTAGATTTTAGTGCTATCTTACGAAAGGACGTTATAATTTATAAGGTAATTTACGAAAAGACGTTTATTGTGTACTAGGTTATATACGACAGGACGTTTCTTTAGCATAAGTGTATTTTAATTTTTAGTTTTAAAATGTATTTTAAATGTTGCATTCCCAATTGTGCAAGTAAAATAGAAGAGACTAAGTTACATAAGTTTCCGTCTGACGAAGACCAACGGAACAAGTGGCTGGACTTTATAAACTGTGACACTCTTAAATGTATGCATTCCAGTAACCTTAACAAGATGCTGGTTTGTCACAAACATTTTGAAAAAAGATTTCATACTGTAAAACCTGGCATTAAGAAGACAGCTTATCCCACACTTTTTTCTTTAGAGGAAATTGAGTCAGGTTTCTCATCAAGATCATGCAATAATAACAAAGGTGTGTACATTTAGTTATTCCTTAATAAACATAACTACAATATATAAAATTAAATGTAAGCAAGGATGAACTTAAATTAGTAAGTAACTGTATTTGGTAGCATATGCTAAAGTATATTTTGAAATATATAGTTATTACTACCTAAATGTACTAGTAAATAGATGAAAATCATACTTGACTTCGCTCTGCACGTACCTTCATACTACATACCTTTGAGCTATCAAGTGAAGGTTATCCACCTGTTTATTGAAGTAAAATTTACTAGTTTATAGATTCTATTAACAATAGCCATTAACTTAATAGATCCAGATTAATAGCTTCAAAAAGGAGGATCTCAACTCAATTTGATCATATATTTTTTTTGTGTTAAGTAAATCGATTTTGATGATTCTCTTTTATTTAAAAGCTGGTTGGTGCTTCTAGTAAGTACCATATCAATTTGATCAAGATCTGACCAGTAGTTTAATTAATAATGCATATTTATTTGACTTCAAATACATTAATGATGTTCTCATTTTATTTATATTGAAGTTGGTTATACAATTTTTTTAATTTTACCACTTGTTATGTACCTATATGATAAATTTTCTTTCTTTCAGAGAATGTACTTGTTGATCACACATATATACATAAGAGACACTATGACCACACATACTACAAAATAAAACAACATTTACCTTTGCTAAAGCCTCGAGACTCCTTAATTGGTAACTATTCAATTAATTTTAAAACTGTCTTTTCTCTTTGAAGTAATCAATTAGACTAGCTATTTCTCATAATATTAAAAAATTGATAGGTGGCAATTATCATAATTTTATATTGGTTGTAATAAACTGATATAAAATTATGAGATTTTCATCAATATATCTTCAATTATAAGTTTACATTTAATAAGTTGAGCCATTTTGATATGATAGTTGAAAAATGTAATGTAGGTTAATTAAGCAAAAAAATAATGAAATAATTTTAAAAATATTCTTACTATATTTAATATTTATTTTAATGTTTTCAGGTTTGACTAATATACCATCAACATCCTTTGCTCCATCATCACATTTGGACAATCTGGAAAATGTACCTGGTAATTTTTTCATAGTGTTCATAAGAAGATTTGTTTTGATGAACACTTAAATTTGCACTCAAATGTGTTAAAAAGTTGTATGAATCTGTAACCAAAAAGTTTTTTCTATTTCTTCTTTATAGTTTTGTTAGAAATCGGCAACATTTCATGTATGAAAGTGACACTAAAATTTATTGGTTGTAATATGATTTTTTTTTAATTTGTTAGAAAATTCTAATCAAATTCAAAAAAATCATTTGAAATTTCATGCACAAAATATGGGTTAACATTTTAATAAATAAGTCATTATTCTTATATATTAATATTCAGAATTATTCTGTTCCATTATTAGTTTTTTGTTTAAAGCATAATGCTACGAGTTTTATTAAGCAAAATTATTATGTTAATAATGATGTGTTTTCTGTTTAGGTGAGTTGACTTCAACAACACCTAAAAAAGTGGTCAAGAAGAGGCTTGTACAAAAATTTTTTAAACTTTCTCCTCAATGCAAGCTACTATACAATGAATTTAAAAAGTCGAGAAGGCAGTTAAATTATAATGTGCGGATCAGGAGAGCGCTAGCTTTTTAAAGACCAACATTTTGAAAAAATTACTGGAAAATGAAGATGTGCACAAAAAGCAAAAAAGGCAGAAGGTTTTCATTAGAAAAAAAGTTGATTGCTTTATCTATTATGAAGCAAAGTCCCAAAGCTTATGGGTTTCTTCAGAAAATTTTTATTCTACCTTCTAACACAACCTTAAAGAAAATGATTGCAGGATTAGATGTAAAAGCACGAATAAACACCCAAATGTTTACAGTCATTAAGGAGGAGGTATGTGTTGTTGTAATTATTATGTAAACCTTTTTGTTATGATTTATCAAGAAATATGATAAAACTAAAATCTTAAATATATAATTGCTTATATTTACGGGAATACTACACGTTGAAAAAAAAACTACTTTTACAGATTTTATCATTTTCTATTTTCACTGATTTTAATTCCTGGCATTTTGAGTGATCCTTTTGATAACAACAATAAAAAAAACCTGTGGTTGCCAACCCGTCTGCTACATGTGACATATTTAGCTTTAGATTTATAATAGGCATGGCAGGAACATGAATGATGTTAATAATAAATTCTTGTTATAATAATTTATTAAAATTTTAGGTTAATAGCTGGAATGAAAGAAAAAACTGTGTACCATAATGTTTGATGAAATGGCTCTTGAAGAACCTTCCCTTAGATATTCATCAAAAAATGATAGTGTGCATGGTTTTATAGAGCTTGATGATGTGAAATCAAATAATTTGGCTGATCATGCACTAGTGTTTCTAGTGAGAGGTGCAGTCTACAAATGGCAACAACCTATTGCTTTTTATTTTACTGAAGGAGCAGTATCCTCCCCTCAACTACAACTAATATTGCAAAATGTGGTGACAGCAGTTTTAGAAACAGGTTTACTTCCCATTGCCCTTGTATGTGATCAAGGGTCATCTTTTCAATCTGCTTTGAAAAGCATGCAGGATAAAACAAAAGGGGATCAAATACGCGCAGGATTAGAAACAGGTAAGCATTACAATAATTTCTTTCACTATAAAATGTTTCAACAACAATAGGAAATTACTTCAATAGATTTTTGATATCATTTGACAATAGCATCGAGCTATTGTCAAATGATATCAAAATTGTTTAAAGGATCAAAAAATAAGATGTGAGTTGATATAACTCAGCAGATATTTTTACTAAATACACTCAGGGATATAAAAGACACTTGATTTAAGGGCAGATAAGTTATAACTTTCAATAAATAAGTAAATAACAAATTCTATTATTTTGAATATTAATTATTTATTATATTGTCAGCATTATTTTATGCATAATCAATCACACACCTGAAATCTTAATAGTGACAAAATCGAGGTCAAGTCTGAATGTGAATGATAAACAATCCTTTATGTTTTTATTTCAGATGATAAAGGCGAAAGTTTTGAAGGGATCGTTCATAGCGATCTTGCCTATTACAACAGCAAAAAATTTCTAAAATATTTAGGCGTTAAAAGAAAAACATCCAATATAAATATGAACAAATATAATTCAACAATGAATGGTACAGAGACACCAGTAAATACTGAAATGGAAAGAAATTTACACATCATGATAGACTGTGGTGAATATTCGCATTTCGATAGGTTTCTACAAGAACTCCCCTCTGAAACCCTTAGCTGATGTCTGTTTGAGAAGAATTGTTGAAGTTGGCCTTGTTGAGAAATGTCTGAATGATGTTATGTACCATATAAGGTCCTTAGAAAGAAATGAGGAAGAAGTATGAATTTGCAGAAACTACACGAAGCTTTCATTGCGTTAGCTGTAGGATATTTTATAAGTATGGTATGCCTCATATGGAAATGTATACATTGGAACTATATAGGTAAAAGGGACCCATATTTCGACAAATATGCTAAAGATTTGTACTATCAAAAAAGAATGAAAAACATTAGAGTTGTATAGAAAGATATATTATTAACAGAATTATAATTGCCTAATATTCATTTCAATAAATAATTTCTTCAGTCATTTTTTTATTATAAAACTATGTGATATCATTTATTATTTGTTTGTTACATGAAACAATCAATTTAAATTTTAATGAAGTTTGTGAATGCACAAATATAATCATAACAAAGACCACACTAAATATAATTACCATTATTTCTACTTATATTCTTTACTTATTTTTATATATATGCTTGTATATATCAGCTAAAGAAATATAATCAGTCTTCTATTCCATAAGAGAATGCTAATTTATGTCAATAAGTACAAATAATAATTAATAAGCCCAGCAGATTATTTAATACTGTTCAAAATCAATAAAATATATATTAACAGTAAGAACATGCACTTACACATACATATTTATCTAAAATTTATGGCACATGTATGAGTTTAGTAATGCACTTTTAAAGCAGAAAGAAGTGGGCATAAATGTCTTCTTGACATGAGACAATATGATAAACACAGCACATGTTATCTTTCCTTATCATTTGAGATGAACATTAAATAAATAGGACTTAATAACATTGATGTATGCTAACAATGGAGAAGATAACAAGGTAACAATATTAGACTTTTAAGTACGTAGGTAAAAAGTCTAGACCAAACACATAATTCTAGTTTTTATTTCACATCGATCGGTGCACTATTACCGAAGTTATAAGCGTGGAAAGTTTACGTACATTTTTAAAATTTCGCCCGTGCCCGCGAGTAGCGCGTGACGTCATCGATTCCATGCGGCCGGCCGATACGAGCGGCAAGTTTGCTAGTTTCTCTAGAAAGTGAAGATTTTTCTTCATAGCTCGAAGAACTTACTACATCAAATTGAAGAAATTTCTTGTTCTCTTGTACTGGCCGAACATATTTATCTTTGGTTTCTGTACTTTTATGTGAAACTTTGTTTTTTAGGTTTACTTGAATTTTTTTGTTTTGTGTAGCGGGAGTATCAGCGTTGTTACCGATTTTGACAAGCAAACTTGTGAGGCAAAACATCTTTTTTAAGTTTGAGGGGTCCACGAACTAGTTTTGTACTTCACGTAGTTTTCCATATCGTTTTCGACCTAGAACAAAATACAAACTTATTTAAAGTCTATAAAAAAATAAGGAACCTCGTAATTTGGTTTCCATCAATATTTGAAATATGTACTAACTATGTAATACATAAATAGGACAACAAGAAAAAAAATTTAAGTGCTCCACTTCATAATCAAACTTCTTCCATTATTTGCGGCCCGCAAAGTATGAAGGTTGAACAGCTCTGCGATGTGTTTAATTTTTGCTCGAAATATCGTAAAAATATAAAAAAGGTTGTTAACATATTCAATATTTTAACCTTTATATGCATTATAAACATTTTAAAATTTGCTGCAAACAGGTAGGTATCTAAACTTACGAACTCACGACAGGTCATTGACTTATCTACATTACATAGGTACTTTACCCAAGTTTGGATGCTTATTTACACCGAAGTAGTTTTAGTTAAACATCTGGGTTTTAGGTATTGTTTCTTCTTGAAATTATAATGATCATTAAGCGTGGAAAGGTTCAATGAATCGTTAGTTACTTAAACACTGCGACTCGTGTAGGTACCTACCATGCCTAACAGAAAGCATATTATAGCATAGCTAGCATAGCAATAACCAAGAGCTATCATTGTGAAGGTTATTATTATTTGAATACTTACATCAAAATGATTCTCACAAAATACGCTACCGTGTTTGGTCCTAAAGGATGTGCTCTTCTCATAGCATTTGTTAATTTTTTTCTGATGGTAGGGTTTCAGGGCACATTAAAAAACAATTTTTCAGGTGTTTTTGTCGCCGTATTTTTTCATTGAGGCACAGCAAAATATTTATAGATGTTGTAAATGTTTCTTGTTAAAAATAGATAGCAAGTACATCCGCGCGCGACGGGCAAATTCGAGTGAATTGGAGTAAATCTTTTGATTTTCTAAGTACGCGTCGGATCGCTCGCACGAAGATGGAAATCGTGACGTCATCAACGATGTCGCGCTCGGCCCGCGGCTTAGACCGAAAATGCCAGTTCCGTTTGCGCGCCGCCCCCGAGCGGTCGTGCATACAGTTCTTTCGCGCCTCCGACCCTTCGGTAGCGTAACCGCTTGCCCGCGCGCCCCGCTCTCCTCGGCTAACACCGGCCGAGCAGACGCCGTTGGTGAGTCACTTTGTTTTTCGCATCGTTCTTGTCCCCTTGCTCCGGCGGGGAGGCTTGAGCGCGATTCGCTTGTTTTGTTTTATTTTTAATTTTTCTGTTATTGTTATTGTTTTTGTTATACTGTTACTTGTTGTATTTTTTGTATATACTGTTCTTAGAAGATCGTCTCTTGCTCTTCTCAGGGCGAGCCCTTGTTCTTTTCAGAACATAGGGACCCCAGCTTCTGGAATAGAACGTTAGTCCTCCCCATCTGCCCCCAAGGCCCTGTTCTTCTCAGAACAGGGACCTCTAGTTTCATAAGAATCAAATCGTCTCCCCCCCGTCCGCCCAACATGTCTTCCATGGATGCTAGCCAAATTTTGGCTCTTTTCCACCAATTTTTAAAAACCCAAGGCGTAGACCTTGATAGCTTCTCGATTAATCTTACCCCCCGTGCCCCTAAGGCATGCGTCCCCCCACCCGCCGTCGCGGCATTCCTCGCGACCCAAGCGGCTGCCCCGCAGACCGACTCGCCCGCGTACCCCGACTCCGATATGGAGCACTCGAACACCACGTCCGTTACCTCCTCCTCCCGGAAGAGGTCCGCCCTCAGCTCCACCGGCTCCTCGGATTCAACTGACTCCGAAGGAACTATAACCAACACAGCCCCAGATTTTACACTAGTGAAATCAAAGCGCGGCCCGAAACGCGCCGCGACTTCCCTCACTCCCCCGCCCCGGCGGCCGCCGCCGCCGCCGGCACTCCCTCCGCAGCTCCCATCGTTGCCCCTACCCCCGCAGCCCCAAACGCTGCCGCCTCTCAGTCGAAAGACACTACCGCCAAGCCAGCAACCCGCTGCGCTCCCAAACTGGCTAAAAACCAAGTCCCGCCCCCTGTTTTTCTCAGAGACAAGGCGAAATTCACTCAGTTGTCCAAAACCCTCTACGATAAGGGTTTCAAATATGACCAAGCCACCAATGTCGGCGAGGCCATCAAAATTGTGCCGGCGTCTATAGAAGACTTCCGGAATATAACCCGCCTATTCACGGCCGAGCGTGTGTCCTATCACACATACGCCCTCGCCGAAGAAAGGAAAGTCAAGGCAGTCCGCCGCGGAGTTCCCTATGAACTCGCAAACGAGGACATTCTGTAAGACCTTAAGTCTCAGGGCTTCCCCATAGAGGCTGTGCACAAAATGCACAGCAGCAGGGGCGAAAGGTTTAACCTTGCCCTCCTTGTTCTCACCAATGTGCCGGAGGCGAAGGCCATCTTCCGCGAGGTACGCACTGTGTGCGGCCTTTCGCGCGTAAAGGTCGAAGCCCCACACCGCCGCGGTTACCCAGCGCAGTGCCACCGCTGCCAACTCTATGGGCACGCGGCAGCCAACTGCTCAGCTCCACCCAGGTGCGTTAAGTGCCGCATGAAAGATCTAGAACCCCATCACTCGAAAGAGTGCCCCCGGCCCAAAAACGCCGAATCCCCACCTTCATGTGTCCTTTGCGGACAAACAGGCCATCCGGCCAATTTTAGAGGTTGCCCTCGCGCTCCTCGCCCACCTCCGAGCCGCAAAGCTCCACCCCAGGTCAATGACCGAACCTTCCCGGCTCTTGTAAGTCGCAAGCCCAGCCAGGGCCAACCCCTACCTCAGCCCCCTCAGGGCTCACCTCAGCCCACACAGGGCATCTACCGGCCCCCACAGGGCCCCTATCGGCCACCTCAGGGCCCTCCTCGGCCCCTTATGAGCCTTCCGCTCTCTCAGCCTGCGCCGCTTCCAATAAACCCCTGGTTCCAAAAGGAATTAAATATCCCTCGGCCCTCCGCCGACCCACAAAAACAGACAGACTCTGTAGTAGAATCCCTAAACCTAGTGTATAACACTCTCAATAGGATCAATATAGATGAAATCCTTATCCTTGCGCGTAAACTGCGCACAGCTCAGTCCCCTCAGGACCGTCTCCTTGCTCTTACTGAGCACATCAACCTACTAAGGTCTTTGTAATTAAACTATGCCGGAGCCCTCTGCTCCTGCAATAACTCACGGTCTTATCAAACCAAAGTGTTTGTCGCTTGTTTCATTCAATATCCGCGGTTTGCGAAATAACCTTCCAGAGCTTAGGCTATTTCTTCGAGATCGCGAAGCCGATCTCCTACTCCTACAGGAGACCCATCTCAGCCCCAAGGTCTCTAAAGGCCTTACTATTAAAAATTATTCACTTCTACGTAACGATAGACCCGACCGCAAAGGCGGCGGTACTGCCATCTATTACAAAAAGTCCCTTCATTGCTCCCACATATCTACTCCGTCGCTTACCAGTATGGAAGCCACTATCACTAGATTAGCTATGACTGGACACCAGTCAATAATTATAGCCTCTTGCTATATCCCTAGCGGAACCCTCCCTGTTAAGAGTGATTTCGAAGCCATCCTTGCATTAGGCGACTCAGTCATTATGTTTGGAGACTTCAACTCCAAGCATACTGAATGGACCTGCCGCACTACTACCAGTAGTGGCAGGGTGCTG